CGCTAACCCCTGTCCTTCTCAGACTATTCCAAAAAATCCAAGATGAGGGAAGACTCCCAGACTCTTTTTATGAGGCCAGCATCACCCTGATCCCAAAACCAGAAAAAGACCCTACAAAGAAAGAAAACTACAGGCCAATATCGCTGATGAACATAGATGCTAAAATCCTCAACAAAATATTGGCAAACTGCATCCAGCAATACATTCAAAAGATCATCCACCATGATCAAGTGGGATTCATCCCAGGGATGCAGGGATGGTTCAACATACACAAATCAATAAATGTAATACATCACATAAACAAAAGGAAAGACGAAAACCAAATGATCATCTCGATAGATGCAGAAAAAGCATTCGATAAGGTACAGCACCCATTTATAATAAAAACACTCAGCAAAATGGGAATAAAGAGGGCATTCCTCAACGTAATAAAGGCCATATATGAAAAACCTACAGCCAACATCATACTCAATGGGCAAAAACTAAAAGCTTTCCCACTAAGATTGGGAACAAGATAAGGATGTCTGCTTTCATTACTTCTATTCAACATAGTATTGGAAGTCCTAGCCACAGCAGTCAGACAAGAAAAAAAAAAAAGGGCATCCAAATTGGAAAGGAGGAAGTAAAGCTATCATTGTTTGCAGATGACATGAAAATGTAAATAGAAAACCCTGTAGACTCCACCAAAAAAACTACTCAACCCAATAAGTGAATTTGGCAAAACAGCAGGATACAAAGTCAATATTCAGAAATCAAAGGCATTTTTGTACATCAGCAATGAAACAGAAGAAGAAATCAGAAAAAAAATAAATTAAGCCAAGGAGGTAAAAAACCTGCATGCAGAAAACTATACAACATTGAAAAAAGAAATTAAGGAAGACACAAATATATGGAAGCATATACCGTGCTCATGGATTGGAAGAATTAATATTATCAAAATGTCCATACTACCCAAAGCAATTTATAGATTCAATGCAATCCCTATTAAATACCAATAACATATTTCACAGATATAGAACAGACATTTCAAAAATTTATGTGGAACCATAAACAACCCCAAATAGCGGCAGAAATTTTGAGAAAGAAAAACAAAGTAGGAGGGATCACAATACCGGACATCAAACTATATTACAAAGTCACTGTAATCAAAACAACCTGGTACTGGCACAAGAACAGACCCATAGACCAGTGGAACAGAATAGAAAGCCCAGAAATAAACTCATGTCTCTATGGTCAATTAATATTTGACAAAGGGGGCAGAAGCATAAATTGGAGTAAAAATAGCCTCTTCCACAAATGGTGTTGGGAGAGCTGGACAGCTACATGCAAAAAATTGAAATTGGATCACCAACTGACACCATACATAAAAATAAACTCAAGATGGATAAAAGACTTAAATATAAGTCGCAACACCATAAAAGTCCTAGAGAACATTGGCAGGAAATTCTCAGATATCCCACACAGCAATATTTTCACCAATATGTCCCCTAAAGCAAGGGACATAAAGGAAAGAATAAACAAGTGGGATCTCATCAAAATAAGAAGCTTCTGCACTGCTAAAGAAAACATCAGCAAAATGAAAAGGGAGTCAACCATATGGGAAATTATATTTGCCAATGATACATCAGATAGAGGTTTGATCTTCAAAATACATAAAGAACTCACACGACTCCACTCCAAGAAGACAAGCAATCCAATTAAAAAATGGGCAAAGGACCTGGGCAGACACTTCTCCAAGGAAGAGATGCAGAGGGCTCAGAGACATGTGAAAGGATGCTCAGCATCACTAGCCATCAGAGAAATGCAAATTAAAACTACAATGAGATACCACTTCTCACCAGTCAGAATGGCCATCATAAACAGATCAACAAACAACGGGTGCTGGCGAGGCTGTGGAGAAAAGGGAACCCTAGTGCACTGTTGGTGGGAATGCAGACTGGTGCAGCCACTGTGAAAAAGTTTGGAATTTTCTCAAAATTTAAAAAATGGAACTTCCTTTTGACCCAGCGATTCCCCTACTGGGATTATACCCTAAGAATCCCAAAACACCAATTCAAAAGAACCTATGCAGCCCAATGTTCATAGCAGTACAATTTACGATAGCCAAGTGCTAGAAGCAACCTAAGTACCCATCGTTAAATGAGTGGATCAAAAAACTATGGTACATTTACACAATGGAGTACTACACAGCAGAAAGAAAGAGCTACTACCCTTCGCAATAGCATGGATGGAACTAGAGAGCATTATGCTAAGTGAAATAAGCCAGGGGGCAAAAGACAAATGCCATATGATCTCGCCTATATGTGGAACCTAACCAACAAAACAAACAAGCAAGGAAAATATAACCAGCAACATTGAAAGAAAAAAGAAACCAACAGAATCAAGAGGGAAGTGGGGGGGGAGGAAAGAGAAGGGTCAAATCAAGGACCATATATAAAGGACCCATAGACAAAGCCAAAGTGGGAAAGGATTGAGGGAGGAAAGTGGGGGAGGGGAGCAGGGGGAAGTGGTGGTGGGAAGGTGGAGACAAATGTATTTAAAAAAAATTAAAAAAATAAAATAAAAAAATAAAAATAGGGCTGAACAGAAAACAACTATATAAGATGAAATCTAAAACAAAACATGCAATTTACATTTATGTAAAGGAAAAATAAGATACCTATTTTCAAAAATAAATAAAAAAAATTAAAATAGCTGCATAGAGATGAGGAATGGAACTGAGCTATGGGAATAAAAGGAATAAACATACAAAATAAAAAGTGACCTTGCAAGAATCAATTAATATGATTAATTTTCTTCTACATTTGCAGTCCAAGTAAAAGACCACAACAATAAAATAGCCGAACTATGCACCATGGGTACAAAAATAATACAGTGCTGAATAAAGGTAGCCACTACCATTATCTTTTTATTATATACCAGGCATAAGAACTTACGTGTATTGATTAATTTAATTCCTCTCAACAACTCTATTTAGTAAATACTGCTATTATTCTTATTTCCCAGGAAATCAGGTAACAAAAAAAGTTGAGAAATTTTCCTAAAGTAACAAGTAGGGCTGAAATTCAAACCCAAATTGTGTTTATCTGGAACTGTAGCTCTAATCTGATACACTAGAGAGCCTATCATTTCTATAATGAAAAGACTGTACTTTAAAAAGAAGCCATTTACAACCCAGCACAATCCAAGTTGAAAACAATTTTTAAAATGGCCTTCAAAACCCCGTAAGTCTGGATAGGACACTTAATAAAATATTTTTTGACTGGGTGAGTGGATTAATGAATGGGAGACTTACCTCAGGCTTCTTCAGTAAGTAGCGTAAGTGGAGATCCTGAGGGGTGAGGATATGTGAGGCAGTAGAATTGCAGAAGCCCATTTGAGGAGTGAAGACATTATGAGTAAAGGACTAGAAATAGGAAACTCCTGGATACACTGATAAAACACCAAGTGACCTAGTGTGGGTGCGTAACTGTGTAGAGAACCTAAGTGTTAAGAGATCCACTTGGGTAAGGTATGCGCTTTATTCAAACTTCTTGATATGCATCCTGCCTTGCTTCATCACTTCAATCTGAATGGCCTCATTATCTATTAGTCATGTGTAGCTCTGCCTCATCAAGAGCAAAATGGGGTTCATTTCCTCACTTAAGAAATAGTTCAGCACATATTATGTGCCAGAAACTGATCTAAGTACTGGAGATAACAACAGTGAATACAAAGAGGTCCCTGGTCCTCATGAACATCACAGTCTATTAAGAGAGAAAAATACCAAAGCAACAAACAGAGTTAGGTAGCCTTATGAGCATATACATAAGACACAAAACATAAAGGGGGGAGGGTTTAAAGTGAGCATATTATTTTAGTTGATAACTGCAACAGTAACTAGTATTTACACTGTGCTTACTAAATATCAGGCACTTGTCTAACTTATTCTATTGATTCATTTAAGATGATTGCTCATGAACACCCCCCCCTCATCCCAAAGCACCTGTATTCTCAAAGAGTTACGAGGCTTAAACATAATAATATATGAAAAGTGACTAGTACAGGATAAGCATTCCATAGATTTTAGTTATTAATACTAAAATTGCCTAAACTATTTCTTTACTTCATCAAGACTTGCAGTTTAGGATGCCTTATTTTCCTAGGTGCAATGGGCAAAATACTGAAGTACACTAGTATACATAGGCAAGGACTAAAATTGTAGACTGAATTAGCAAGAGAGAAGGTATAACTGAAACAACAGAGTGGGAGGGGAATGTAGGAAGACATGGGATAAAGAGCAAAGGCGGAGGGTTTGCCATTAGAAAGAAAAGATTTTTCTCAGGACAGAAGTAGTAGAGTTAAGACATGTCTCTTGTTTTTCCGAAATCACGATAAATTTCTTATAGCTAGTGACAACTTTACGAGGTCTTACATACAATACTGTGTAATTGTAAATAACCACACAAAGCAGAGAAACAAGGACCAGGATATCCCTTCTTATTTGGCAAATACCACTTGTTAAAAGACTATGGCACTTGAATTTGTACTTGGTACTACGTCATGGTAATTATCAACTTGAAAGACATATATAGTAAATACTACATAGAAAGACACCAAAGAAAACAAATCTCCAAGGCAGAGAATTATACAAGTTCAATAATTATGATCTTGATTCTTTCCTACCAAACTAGTTACATCAGGATTAGTTCTTGATGAAGCAGAAAACTAGACTAGAAACAAAAACCTAAGAAAATATACCTCATACATGCTAGATTTAAGAAATTTGAGTCTACAGAAGTGACTCATCCCTGTCCTTTTAAGTCATCCTTTCTTTCAGTACTTTTGATACACAGAAGTATTATTCACATACGCTCCCTTCTAAAATCAGTTTTTAAAAGTTATGCAAAAAATACAATTATCTCAAGTTCAAATTATATATATAAATATTTAATTCTTATTTATATGCAGCTTGAAGACAATAAATCAATTAGATAACAAAAATTTACACCTAATCTTACCTTTGTAAGATAATCTACTTTCAAATTGTCGATCATCATATTTTTCTGGGATAGCTCTATTTTCAGTAACTGAATATTATGAAGTAGTTCTTTCCGTTCAATTAGCTGCTTAGTGATTTTGATTTTACCATCTCGCTCTTCTGATGAGGAAATGTCATCTGTAGGAACAGTTGTTTCTAAACTAATATCTTCAGATTCCAGAGAGCTAGAGACGTTTATTTTTTTTGATGCCTTGGCAATTTTTTGAGACATTCTTATGGGTCAGTTTTCTTCTCCAATTCTATTTCAATTTTCTGTAAGTTAAAAAATATTAATTTAAATGACTCAAACATTCTCTTTGGAAAGCATAAAGTATATTAAAGAGATACTAAGGATTCCCTAAGTAATTATTAGGCAAATCTAAAGACTAAATCTAGGACAGATTAGTAAATTACTGCTCAGAGCAAACGTATTAAATCAAACTCATTAACTCCTACTATGAACTCAAGCACTTGGATGAATAAGAAACCCAGTTTTTTTTGGGGGGGGCAGGAATCTTACTTGGAGGAAACAAATTAAAGAAAGGATAAAGCTCTAATGCCACTAATAAAAACAGCACATGTTCAATGTAAGAAATCACTTCTGAGTTGGTCAAGGGAAGATTATAGAGATAGAACTTGGATTTGGGGAGAAACAGTAGAAAGGGAAAAGCATGCGGGTGTTAAGGCTGGTATAGAGGTGGTGGGAGTGTAAAACGACAGCGGAAGATAGTGGTTGTTAGGCTGGGGCCAAGTCTTTGTGAATGAGAATAGTGACTCCCTCATTCCCCGCCCCCCAACAAAAAGAACCCCCCACACGTCCCTTAATAATCAAGGGTGCGGAGGGCCTTGAATCAAATGTGTTCGAAATTTATTCTGCAGGCAATGAGGCATCAGTGAAGATATTTTAAAAAGGGAGGCAGTGACATAACCCTTTTTATAGGCTCGCAGATTGCAGCATGAAAACGAGAAGGTAAAAAAGAAAAGCTCAAGAATTCTAAATCGAACGTTTTACCCCTTCAAAAGAATTTCTGCAACTCCTGTTTTAGTACAACACGATATCATGAATTATTTACGGTATTGCAAATATCAGCGTTTCCAAAAGGAACGATGTGTATTGAGGTGAAACGGCAAGAACTTTAGCTGGATCGGCTTCCCCCCTTTTTAAAGGGCAAAGGGTAAAAGTAGGTGGAATCAAAGACAGGCAACATCACCTGGAATACAAAGGATCAGGGGCAGAGGATGGCCACACGTGAGAGGCGAAGAATAAAATCCAAACTTGGCAGCATCGGAGGATTCCTTGCCCCAGGCGTGAAAGGAAGGGATAGCTGAGAGCTACCTTGAAAGCTTCAATTACTCCACGTCGCAGGGTGGACCAGCCGCCACTGCCAATATTTCAAGGAGCTGAAGACATCTTCAGGCTACAGCTCAGGTTGCAGCCCCTCAATAACGAATCTCAGGCCCGGGACCGTTAGGAACGGTAACCAGGACAACCATTTCAGCGCCCGGAGGAGGCCAGTGGAAGCGGCAGCGTGCAGACTTTCCAGAGCCGGAACTTAGCCCCGATCCGCCCCGGCGCGGAGAGCGATGCATCTTGGGAGCTGGAGTTCAGAGGCGGGTCCCCCTAGTTCCTGAGCGGAAATGACTCTGGGGGCCGCGCATCCTCCCTTGCTCTTCTCTTGCGCCCAATTCTCGCAGCCTTCGGAGAGCCAACCAACATCAGTCTCGACGTTTTCCCGCGAGAGGTGTTTGCTAATATCTGGAGCGGGAAGGGGGGAACCTCAGGGTAAAGTATACTTGTGCGACAGGGCTCCTAGCTTGATACATTTTGCCTGAGCAGTGCTGTCGGAGCCGGGATTCTGCCCCGGGAGGCAAGATGCTGAAGTCCAAGACTTTCTTAAAAAAGACACGCGCGGGGGGCGTGATGAAGATCGTGCGCGAGCACTACTTGCGGGACGACATCGGCTGTGGTGCGCCGGGGTGCGCGGCGTGCCGCGGTGCGCACGAGGGGCCGGTCCTTGAGCCCCAGCCCTTGGACCCACCGAGCAGCCTTTGCCCGCAGCCTCACTATTTGCTGCCTGACACTAACGTGCTGCTGCACCAGGTGAGTCGGAGGGCGGGCTCCGCCGGGAAAAGGGGTGTGACAGCTGGGGAAACTGAGGCCCAGAGAGGCGTGTCTGTGGCAGCATCCTGCACTTAGGGAGAGGCAAACCCTTCGGGACCCATACCTCCTGTCCCTCAGGCCGAGGTTCTTTTCCTTCTATGTACTGTTTTGGAGTTCTTGGAACGATAAGAATTTTGGACATGTTTATTTTCTAACTCCTGGTATCTCTTCCGCCTTCGATTGTAAGTGCCTGGAGGCCCGGGCCTGGGCTTCCGTGGCGTCTAGTCTGTGACCTCTTGGCAGCTTTTTAAGTGCCTATTAACAAAAACTGTGTGGGCCAACGTTGTTATTACTATTTTTTTATTAATGGACTGAATTCTGCGAAGTTTTAGAATGCCTGTTTACATGTGCTTTACTAAACCTCAAGGATTTTCTATAGCAAAATATCTTTTTATCTTAATGCATGTTTAGTGTTTTTTTAAACCGAAAGGGTTTTTATGTTCGACAGAAACAATTTACAAAGGAACATAGAAAGAAATTAATTTTTCTTGTCTTTTCTCTTTTAAGATTGATGTTCTTGAGGACCCTGCCATCAGGAATGTAATTGTACTACAAACAGTTATGCAAGAAGTGAGAAATCGGAGTGCCCCAGTATATAAACGAATCCGAGATGTGACCAATAACCAGGAGAAGCATTTCTATACATTCACTAACGAGCACCATAGGTAGAAGAGAAATTTTGTTAATTATCAGAAAACCACAGAATTATCTAAATTTAAGGAAGGGCTCCTGTCAGTGACTGATGATGTCAGAAAGTATCTGATAGGTTTCATACTTACAGGAGTTTTATTTGATTCTCATAGAGTTGTATAGAAAGAACATAATGCTAAGTAGACTTCATTAAGGTCACATAGACATTCATTGGCTCAAACCTCGAAGCAAGGTCTGTTGACTCGTAGGCTATAGGAGGTATTTTTATTTCCAAAATGTTTTCGTTTTGAATTGATTTTAGTATGTGTTGAACAATAGAATCATGGTAGGTAAGATTTACCTAGGTTCTTTGAATATCGTATTATATCAATAGCCAACATAGGTTAACAAAATGTCAAAGTTTGAGAAAGAGGTTTTAAATAACAAAGCAGCTTTATTTTTTTTTTTAAGATTTATTAGTTTTAGAGAGAGGAGAAGGAAGGAAGGAAGGAAGGAAGAGGGAAACACTGATGTGTAAGCGATACATTGATTGGTTGCTTTTTGCATACCAAGAGGAGACCTAGCCCACAACCCAGGCATGTGCCCTGACTGGGAATCAAACCGGCGACCTTTTGTTTCACAGGCTGGCACTCAATCCACTGAGCCACACCAGTCAGGACATAAAGCAAATTTATTCCTAGTGGGCTTTTAAATGTTACAGTAATCCCTTATAATTAATCACATTGAAGAAGATATGGTTGAAGTACAGAATTCTTTGTTCTATTTCAAATTCAAATAAATATTCAAATATTTCAAATATTCTCAGGGAGCAAAATCACCCATTGAAAACCACTGGGTTAGCTGTTAGATAGGGTAATGAAATCCTATTGTAATATGCAAATTAAAAATTTAATTTCTTAATTTTCTCTTCTTTATTCTTACATCCCAAACTTTAAAGAAAAATTGTCTTTGTAAAAAACATTAGTGAAACACTTGTAGCCTTCTTATTCTTAGCTCATCCTTGAATTCTGTAAGCAGCGATCTCACTTGTTTTACAGTGCAGAAAGAACAAGTTTTTGTGTAGCCTGATCGTCAGATCCCTAATCAGAGGTTATTGTTAGCGTAACTACATAAATACAGTTTTGCAGTACTGGGGCTGACAGGAAAATCTTCCTTATGACACTTGGGCAAATCTCATAAGATACTGTTGCTCAAGTCATACTAAAACCAATTCAAAAATTATATGACAGTGTTGTGTGATTGATACACTTAAAGCATTAGTAGATGCATTTAATGGTGAGGGATAAAATAATTATAAAAACTATTGAAGTCTAAAATTTCAAAAATGGATTTTTTTTAAGATATTATTTATTTTTAGGGAGAGGGAAAGGAAGGGGGAAAGATAGGGGGAGAAACACCGATGTGAGAGAGAAACATCAATCGATTGCCTCGCATGCTCCCAAGCGGGGACCTGGCCCACAACCCAGGCAGGTGCACTGACAGCGGATTGAACTGGAGACCTTTTGGTTTGCAAGCTGATGCTCAATCCACTGAACCACACCAGCCAAGGCTGAATTTACTATCTTTAGCACTAGAAGTTATTGAACTGAGTTTTGTTATACTTAAATCTGGGTTGAAAAACAGATTCAAATAAGTAAATATGCTGACATATTTGGGAGTTCAGAGTAGATAGAAAGGAGTGTGCAGTCATATCTGTATCTGGTCTTTCAGTCTCTAGATTGCTTCTGGCTTTTACTGTGTGTTTACTATGGATAATTTACATGCATTGTGAACTTAACTACAGAAGCATATGATCATAAATTAAATTGTACTATTTATAGCTTTTAGGAATTACTGTTAAACTACAGTTCGAATGAAACCTCATTATCAAGCCTGCAAAGCTTAATTGTAGTTCTTTCCAGCAAATCATTACTTGGTTGATGTTCCAACTGAAGTATAAATTCTGACCTTGATTTTTCTTTTGGTGAAATGGTTTTAGCCTTTTTATTGTCCCATTAATAACATGGTTTTCTTTTTTCAAGCAAATTGTCTTAGAAACTTAATTATACAGATCCTGTTTATTTCCTCTCTGAGGTATAAATCTGAATACATTCAAGAGATAAAGATATACCATTGACTTTTAAGTTTAGTGGTTATTAAACATTTATGTCTTAAAACTTTTCATATATCTTTGTTTTTATTAATTTTCATTTCCTTTTTAAAAAAATTTTCTTTTCTTTACATTTAGAGAAACTTATGTAGAACAAAAACAGGGAGAAAATTCTAATGATAGGAATGATAGAGCCATTAGAGTAGCAGCAAAATGGTACAATGAACATTTGAAGAAAATGTCAGCAGAGAATCAGCTGCAAGTTATCTTCATAACAAATGACAGGAAAAACAAAGAGAAAGCCATAGAAGAAGGAATACCAGCTTTTACTTGTAAGTCTAAATGCATCAACTGTTAAATCATGTTTGCAAATGCACATAAAAAGTATTATCAGGTTCGTGGTCAGAAAGTCACTTGACTGTATAATATTTTCATAGTTCTAAATTACCTCTATTTTTGCATTTGTAAATTTCTTTGCCTTTCTAAGCTCAGTGTTTTGTGGTGCCTGGTGGCTAATTTCCCTGTCACCATTTGGAATTGGCTTAGCAATAAAAGCTCAAAGATACGCTTGCCCCACTGTCTGTGCTGGGGTATGACCACATCAACAGATAGGGGCCTTTCCCCCGCAAGAATTGAAAGATGTACCATCACAAACAAGATTACGACGTTCTTCCATATCTAAGAAAAAAACAAATTAAAAAACACTTGAACTTACGAAGAACAATAAACTTATTTTTCAGGTGAAGAATATGTAAAGAGCCTAACTGCTAACCCTGATCTCATAGATCGTCTTGCTTGTTTGTCTGAAGAAGGGGTATGTTTGAATTTGTTTTATTTTGTTCTGAAGAGAAATAACCACTTTAGGGTATGAAATTTAAAAATTAGAATGTTGGTGGAAATTGGGATAGGAGTTAAGTTACAACAGTAAGAGTGGCTGGAGTCAAAATGGCATTCCAAAAAGATGTGACTTCCTAAAATGGCACTGTTTGCCAGAATTTCCTTAGCAACCTGAGTATGGCCTGGCACTTGGAAGCACTGTTGATGGATAAATAAAGGAATCTGTGGCTGGTTTGGGAATAGCACCAGGTACTTTATGAAGAAGCAGCGGGCAGTGCAGACGGTGCATGCACCGGTAGCAGTAATTCCGAAGGAAGAGGAAAGGAAGTCCTAAGAGTTAGAACAGGAAGGGAAGGGCCTGATCATGAGGGCCTATAATTTTTCTGTAGGTCAGTAATTTTTAAACTGTCTTATAAAGGTCTTCCTAAAGGGCAGCTACGAAGAGATGATAACAGACAGAATTCTGGCTCTGTACCTTACATAATGGCAGGCAAGAAGAGATTAAGGATGTATAAAAGTGTGCCTGGGAGGGATTGGGGAGAATGATCAGAAATGTTATGTATTTGAAAGAGCCCTCTAGTGTCAATATGAAGGATGCTGCACTGTATCACGGCGAGATCAGAGGCAGAGGGATGAGTAAAGGGATCAATTGCATTAACAGACTTTAGAGGACATGCTATGGGACTCATTAAACGTTGTGAGCCCTCATTTCCTTACATGTAAAGTGTGTTTAGCAATAGTGAGTTAATAGTGTTGTTATGAGGATTGAATGAGATAATAACAGCACTATTAATAAAATGCTTATTTCACAGCCTGGCACACAGCCAGGGTAAATGTAAATGGCAGCTATTGTTATAATAGAAATGGGTTTTATGTAGTAGAACGTTATGCATACATCCAGTCTTTACAGTATTTTTCCCATCCCTGTTTTCCTTGAGTCAGCTTTACAAAAACTAAATGTAAGTGAAAAATAAAAGCTGGGCTTGATTTTTAGAATACAGGTTTAGGATTGCCCTCTCTAATATGTAGCCACTAGCTGCATGTGGCTGCTTAAATTTAATTCAGGTTAAAAATTCAGTTTCTCGGTCGCACTCTCCACTTCAAGTGCTCAAGAGCCACTTGAGCCTGGTGGCCTTCATTTTGGACATCACAGAAAGAATACTTCCTTCATCGCAATGTTGTTTTATAAATAGCACTCATCTAGAAGAAGAAACAAGAAATAGTGTAACATTGGTAATACACGGTATTTGATTAAGTCCTACGGTAGGATAAGTGTAGGATACGGTGTAATACATGTGTGTGCCTCACGTTCACTGTGCAATGCAATATCATGCAGGAAAAACCACAGAGCTTATGGGAGAATGTGCTTAGGGGCACATACTCAAAAACCGTGGTAGAAAGAGGGTTTGGAAGGAGACCAAAATTGCATTTATTGATTTATTGCCGGTCGTCTTACATTTATATGATGGTAAAATGTTACAGTAGAGAGGGAACAATTTGCAGAGAGAAAAGATAGTTAAAGGACAAAGTTCTTGAATAGAGGAGAGGACATGGTTTGTAGTGCCCAATTGAAAGAACAGAAACATAGTATCCTGTGTATTCATTGTTACAGGGAAGAAAGCCGAATTTTGGTGCAGATGCAAGTAAGTGGGCAGATTCAGTGGTGAGAACATGTATTGGCTGCTTCCAATTCTCAGTGTGGATATTGTGGTCACCCATCTGAGAGTGAGAAGACAGGGAAGTTAGGTAAGCCAAAAGGAGGAAGCACAAAGGAAGATGGAGAAGAAAAGGAGCCAGCCAGTTAGGGTTTTGGATGTTGAGGTTGCTAAGAATCTTGATAGATGTTGTAGATGTAAGGCAGTTCCCAACTTACCTCTATCTTACATCCTTAGCTATTTGAAATAGCCAAAATACAAAGTGCATTTCTTGTGCTTTAGTAGCCACAGGTTTTTCACGGAATTGAGGCTTCAAATTAGCATTTGTGTATCTGCGCGCCCACTTAAATACACACCTTCGTTTTGGGAGGCCTGGGGTAGTGGTTGTGGGTGTGGAGTTCCTTCGTAACGTACATCTGTGGCTCTCCATCCGGATGTAATGAAATTGAAATATTTGTGTACGTTGTCCTAAGAATAGAAGGCATTTTTTTTTCTCACTCTGCTCATTGATAGAGTTGTATATACCATGACGTGGAAGGTTTTTAAAAGAAATTACTTGATAGTGATAATAGTTATATACTGAATATGAAAAAGATTTACATAGTAACGGTATCTTTGGTTTGCTTATTACACAGAATGAAATAGAAAGTGGGAAAATCATATTTTCAGAGCATCTTCCCTTAAGTAAGCTACAACAAGGCATAAAATCTGGCAAATACCTTCAAGGAACATTTAGAGCCAGCAGGGAAAATTACTTAGAAGCTACAGTATGGGTTCATGGAGATGCTGAAGAAAACAAAGAGGTAAGTGTGTAAATATATTCCTTACACACTAAAATACTTTCTGTTCAGCATTTTCTTTCATAAGTGTTTAAAAATTTTGTGTGAGATTTTAAATTTGCTTTTACTTCCAGAAGGCAATTGTATGGGATGTATTTAGATAGTAGAATTAATCACTTTTTTAGAAAACTGCATATTGAAGAAAACTTTCTATTAACCGACTCTTAAGATTAATCAAATAATAATAAATAGCCTCTTTTTGACATATTATGACCAGTTATGGAGTGTACTGTTTACACAGCATTGATTGCTCCAGGGCCCTTCCCACACTTAAAGTGGAGAGCAGTTGCTTTGGGGTGCTTACTGTTGCCAGGTCCTCTTCTAACTGCTGTGCCGGCTGCATTTCACTCAGTCTTCAACCTAGCCAATCAAAGTAGGTCTTTTTTTGTGTTTTACCTTCAGGACCCTGAAGTTTAGAGAGATTCAGAAATTTTCCCAAGGTCTCTTGGCATTAATGTAAGAGTTATGGCAGAGCCATGAACACAAACTTGTTTTTTTTGATCATGTATTTTCTACTGGATACGGAGAAATTAAGAGGATGTAGTAAGTGGACACTATAAGGAAGAAAAATATAAAGGAGGAAAAATAGAGATGCATAGAGATACTCAAAATGTCTTAAACCTCTGTTAAGTAATCTTCCCATTATTGCCATTAAAAATATTTGGACACATGCATTTACTGTTTTACACAGATAATCATACAAGGGCTTAAAAATTTAAACCGAGCTATTCATGAAGACATTGTGGCCGTGGAGCTTCTCTCTAAGAATCAGTGGGTAGCACCATCGTCTGTGGTTTTACATGATGAAGGTCAAAATGAAGATGATGTGGAGAAGGAAGAAGAAAGAGAACTCATTGTATTAAACCAAGCAAGTTTTTATTTTTTTCTGTGCAGTTCTATATAATTAATGTGTTAGCTTTGGAGAAAATTAAGCAACTTTTATTGCTTTCAGGTTTAGTGAACAAAATTGTATGAGGAGGGACACAAAAAAACCTAGAATTGTCTTCTGGGGGGTGGGTCCCATGTAGTACAGGCTTCCCCACGTAGGTGAGTGTTCTAGGAACCCATCTATATCCACGCATCAGCTGGCGTTGTTGTTAGAGGCTGCATGTGGCTTAAGTGAATTTTTTTTGTATGGTCTTTAAATGCATTTGCCCATTTCATGATGGGTGATTTATGAACGCACCTGCCCACACCCTGCTGGGTGTTGAGCAGTTTTTGACCAAAAATGACATGACCCCAGTGCCCTACCCCCTGTTCACCCAACCTCACCCTCAGCTACTTTTTTTATTTCCCTGAATGAAAAAAGCCCTCAAAGAGAAAGATTTTGCCAGTGTGGAAGGGGTGAAACAAAAAACAACAAGCACTAAAAGGCATCAAAATTGATGAGTTCAAAACTTATTTTGAGCAGTGGAAAAAAGTCTCAATAGGTGTATTTTATCAAATGGTGAGTACTTTTGAAGGTGACTGAAGTTTAAGCATGTAAGAATAAATACACAATTTTTTATAAATCTGTTTTTCTGGGTTCCCCCTCCTAGTCCTACACAGCTGACTTTTTTCCAAGTATTTAAGTAGTATTTTAAACTTACGTCTTATTTTGCTCAAATAAATGGGTTTAAAATACAAAAAGACTTGACTTGTTTATGAAACTTGAACTGTATGGCATTCAGAATGTGATCTGTCTGAATTGATGAGTTTTAAGTAAATACAAATTAAAATTTTCTGGAACATTTTTATGTAATGTTAAAATTCTGTTAGCATAGTAGATGTACTTTTGAGCCCTTGTATTTGGGCCTGTTTAATAATTCCTTCTCAATTACCATATTTGTTAGGAAGAGAACACTTTCAGTTGTTTCTTAGGAGCCAAAGTCTACTTGCTATGACCTATTAATTTCCTTATTTTAGAATGACATGAGTAATGTAATTATTCACCCAGTATAAGCAGTCCTTTTTCCATGAGTTTTATGCAGTGCTCTGGAGTCTTACTATGGCATTATCCCCGTGGAGTCTAAGCCATAGAGGAGTGTTGGAGGTGAAATACCTTAAGATCCTTCTGCTGTGTCTAATAAGAAATACCCCTTTTTTAAAATTTTTATTATGAATAAGGAAGAACTACTAAAGATAAATCTCTCTCTCTCTTTTCTAAGAATTAATAAATACCACATAGCTGACTAGTGCAAGCTAATACTAAATCCTAGTTTATTAATTCCCATACCTGTGTATATGTTAGTGAGTCCCCGTATTAAAACGGAAAGGAATTGAATTCTGAGATATTTATTCAGTTATATTAATTTCTTTCAGTTATGTGTTTTTATAATCCTTTGTATTACAGGAAATTTCCATGGTTTGTTTTTACATGCTATTGCCTAGAATTTTGAAACATCAAGATTCTGTACTTTTATGTCATAATTTAGGCCTGAAAATATTAGTATCCATATTCATATTCTAATTATGAAGGGAAATTGGGTCATTATACTTAGGGGAAAAATAACTGAAGATTTTTATTTTTATTTTTGAATCTCAGCTTAGGACGGCTGTAAATGAAAAAATGTTAAAGCCTACAGGTAGAGTTGTAGGAATAATAAAAAGGAATTGGAGACCGTATTGTGGCATGCTTTCCAAGTCTGATATTAAGGAGGTGAGTAGAGAGCATGTTGCTATGTAATTAAAAATGATACAGTTTAATAGAACAGCTCTTCCCTTGCCTTTATCCCAGTTTTTGTGTGTATGTGAAATACTTTTTGCTCATTTTCTTCAGTCAAGAAGACATCTCTTTACACCTGCTGAAAAGAGAATTCCTCGAATTCGGATAGAAACCAGACAGGCTTCTGCATTGGAAGGACGGAGAATTATCGTTGCTATTGATGGATGGCCCAGAAATTCCAGATATCCAAATGTAGGTTTGAATTAATAATTTTGTTTTAGAGTATTTTATTGAAAATTTGGGAATAAAATTGCTTCTCTTAGTGAAACTAGTCTGTTGATGTATAAAATTCATACTGAAATTTAGGAATATTTCAGTTAGCTAGTAAGTAATGCATCCAATTTGAAAATTAATCTTATGAAATTCCAATGTAAGTATTAACTTACTTTTACTCAAATTTTCAAACAATTAACTTTTATTGATAACGACTACAAAAAATGGTTTATAAGACCTAACTAGATGCCAATAAACATTCTGAAACTACTGTATTTGAAGCACATTCTAAACTTGAAAGATAATAGAAAATAAACAGATGCTTTGTTATATAAGAACTAGGCCTTTGCTAAGTTTTTATTATATACACTTGAAAATTTTCATAATTATCAGCATTAACTTACCAAAGGATCATTTCTAAGAAGTACTTAATGGCTACATTTAGAAATATTAAAGTTATATATCAATGCTCAAGAACTTAATGTGGTAATAAGATATAAATTACCCAGTAACACCTATAAAATATACTTTTCCAATAATAATATTTGGTTTTAGGGACACTTCGTGAAAAATTTAGGTGAAGTTGGAGATAAAGAGACTGAAACAGAAGTTTTGTTGCTTGAGCATGATGTTCCCCATCAGCCTTTTTCACAGGCTGTTCTTAGCTTTCTACCAAAGATGCCCTGGAGCATTACTGAAGAGGTAAGCTGAAAAGAATTCTTAGTGCCTTTATAAATTACTGTACCTGATTTAATTTTGTTTGAATTCTCTGTTTTTAAATATGTAGAAACCATAGTCCCCTGTTCCCCGCATTTAGTTAGGTACAGAACTCTTAGGTGTTACAGAAATCATTTGCTTTACTGAAAGATGGTTTTTTTTTCTGGAGGACCAACACTAGATTATGTCAAATTTTCCAAAGGCACGAAAACTACAAGTTGCAAATGATCATGTCTAGTTATCATTAAGAAATAAGACAAGTTTTTTTTTGTTTTAAATATATTGTTGATTTCAGTAAATATAGTGTTGATTTTATTACAGCTGCCCTTATGCTCCCAAAACAGTTTTTTATTTCTTAATCATGTTTCATCTTCTAGGACATGAAAAACCGAGAAGACCTGAGACATCTCTGTGTTTGTAGTGTGGACCCACCAGGATGCACTGATATAGATGATGCTCTGCATTGTAAAGAACTTGAAAATGGAAATTTGGAGGTATTCGTTTTGTAATTGCATTCTTATCCACATACAGTTTTGTTCTTGAGTTCATTTCCTTTTCTCACCCATTGTATAATTTATTTGTGATTTACTTGTGCCAAGTACAGTCAGTTGTAGCTGCAGAGACTAAGGGGCTTGTATCAAAAACTGCAGTGGTGAACGTGACTGAGTCCTTTTTCCATTTAGCTAAATTTCTTCTCATTAAAGCTACATTTCTCCAATTAAGCATATTGACATCTTTTCATTTTTATCTTTTTAAGGTTGGTGTTCATATTGCTGATGTTAGCCATTTTATTAGACCAGGAAATGCTTTGGATCAAGAATCAGCCAGAAGGGGAACAACTGTGTATCTTTGTGAAAAGGTAAATGTGTTAAATTAAAAATGGAATTTTGGTACATGCTTTCAACTTTTTCATCCTTTGTTTTATTCTTCATAATAAAATCATCTGAGGTGTTCCTGAGGAAAAGACAGCCTCAATATTTAGTGAAATTTTGATGAAATTTGATGAATGGCTATTATATTAATTGTGCAGTTAATTCATAGAGACCATAGAGCTTGTGAATGCTTAAATAGTCAAAGTTTGGAATAGTACGTGAATTAGCTAAAAGACTAATAATGTATAGAATAAGATGACCTTAAATCAGTAAATTGCAATTTTCTTGTTTACTGAGTGGCCCAAATAAGAAGTAGATGTAGTTGATATAAATTATTGTGTAGCATTTAACTTACTATTAATGGGCAACTAATTAAATGAGTTTATTCTGTCACAGTTTATTGTTTATTCTTCATTAAGTAGGGTCCCATAAAGTTATAGAGAAAAATTGTGAAAGTAGAGGGGAGAATTAAGCTTAGTCTGTTATGAAGGCATTGTCAAAGTTCTGGGTAGCTGTTGTCCATAAAAATGTAGTGTCTTTTTTAGTACTTTAAAAACACCATATAGTTTGTGTTAAGCTGTAAGGAAAGGTCCAGTCATGGAGCTAGCAGGACTTGTGTTAGTTATATAGTACAGTTATATAGTGCAATCTTAGTGTCCAGACTAGAGATCAGATGTTCAGAGGACAACTTGGTGGCTAGCGTCAAGGACTGAAGCTTAGATCCACTGCCATGAAGTCCAGTTTTCTTTCATTGCTTCTGTTTTTTAAAAGTTTTGTCTAAGTACAATGTTTTTCTAGAAATAGACTTATTTCGTGTTTTCTCAGTTCTATTCACACAGACCAGAATACTCCTTTTTTTACTTGTTAAATTAATGCTGTTTGAGAATACAGTCTCAAATAAATGATTGTATAGATATAGCTAAGTAATCTGCGACTCTATTTTATGTGTTCCAGAGGATTGACATGGTTCCAGAATTGCTTAGCTCTAACTTATGTTCCTTAAGATGTAACGTTGACAGGTATTTATGCATGTTTTTTCATAAGACCACAGTAGTTACTACTTTAACTGATTCCTATTAACAAATACTGTATTTTTTTTCCACATAGGTTGGCATTTTCATGTATTTGGGAAATGAATCACAATGCTGATATCTTAAAAACGAGATTTACAAAAAGTGTCATTAATTCAAAGGTTAGTTTCCTGGTTAACATTTAATGTTTAAAATCCTTGGTACTTCTAACAGCGTTCTAGATTGTTTTGAAAGGTTTAGGCTTATTATGTTAAGAAATTTTTTCCCCAGTGTTACAACAAAATCTAGATTCTTGCAGGTATCTGCTTAATTCTTGATGTTAATTATAAATGACTTCACATAGCCATTGTCCTGTATTCAGAAACTTAGAAAGCCTAGATACATAAGAAGACCAAATAGGTGACTTTTATCCCAACTCAGGAATCCGAGCATTTGAAGCTGCCCCAACTTATGACTGGTTAGCATTTCAGAAGTTGGCCTCTATACCATCTTCTTGTTTCCCATGTTTGTTCATAGAAATGATGTTATAAATCAGTGTTGGGCTCCAGCAGACCTGGCCTATGATGTGTGCTCAGACAGAATGGGGCCAGATTGTCTTCCTCCTTTTCCCTTTTTATACTCCTCCACAGATTCCCTGTATTCTTATTTTCCCCTGAATCTTACTGTAAGGTTTGCCAAACCCTCTTCTTCTAGAGATCCATTTTTCAAATTTACCTGCTTTTTCTCTCCCTTTTTCATGTCATTTTTTTGTTGTTGTTATAATCAACTTGTAGTTGGGAAGAAAGCAGTGTTAGAATGACAAATGGTGATGTGTGAATGATTTAAGCCTTCCTAGATTTGTATTTTTAAATAGCAGTGAATTTATTTCTTCTCCTAGACTTTGCCAGTATAACAAAATTATATGAAAAAAACACATTTATTGAACATATAACAGAAAACATTTTTGTTTGGAAGGGGAACTCTTAGCTCCTGGTAGAGGAGTTGGCTGTCCCCAGAATCGGACCTGGCTTGCATCATCTAACACGCTGTTCCTGACTTTTACTTGTGAAGTTACCTTTTTTTTTTGTCTGCCCCTGAGGATATATTTTTTATTGACTTTAGAAAGAGAGGAAGGGGGAAAGAGAGAGAGAAAAAGAGAAACAACGATGTGAGAGAGAAACATCAATCGGTTGCCTCCTGTACGCCCCCCAACTGGGGATCAGTCCTGCAACCTAGGTATGTGCCCTGACCGGGAATTGAACTGGCAATCATTTTCTTTTTCTTTTTCTTTTTTTTTTTTTGTGCACGGGAGACACTTAACCAAATGAGCCACCCGGCCAGGGCTGTGAAGTTATCTTTAAAAAAAAAAAAGTCAGCTGAAAAAATGGTAGCTTTTCATGAAGACTGGAATAGGAACAGAAGCAACTATTTGTATATGTGGGTTGAAATTGGAAATTACTTTAATTCTTTTATTACTATGATTTGTTTCATTTTTAGGTATTTAATTCTGGGTTTTTAGTAAATTTCCTGCAAGACCTAATGATTAGATTACTGCAATTTTCCTAAGTATTTGCCAGTGAGTAGAGGAGTAATTCCTTCTAGAAAGGATTTCACTTTACAGCTATTATCAGAGAATAATCAAACCTTACTTTTGATTTTAGCATTACCTGAGTATGTATACATTAAATGAAATATGAAAGTAATTAAACTGTGAGCAATTTATATACTAACCGTACTACTATATTACTTGTAAGTTTGCCTGTGTTGCGTAATACATTTGATAAGAGTTGAACCAGAAATCATACATGTGGAATATAAATGTTGTAGTTAGGAGTCTCTCTTTTAATGATATTTAGGTTTTTCTAAATCATGGATTTTACATATTGGAAATATAAGAATGTAGTTAACCAGTTTTTATAATTTGTAAGGCTTATAATAACATATGGTTTCTTCTTTAGGCTTCCCTTACATATGCTGAAGCTCAGATGAGAATTGATTCAGCAACCATGAATGATGAGATTACCATTAGTCTCCGTGGACTGAATAAGCTAGCTAAAATTTTGAAAAAACGAAGAATTGAAAAAGGGTACATTTCAAAAATATTTATTAAGATATTTCTTAATTCATTTATCTTGGCATTAAGATAACTTGTGAATTCCTTAAAGTATTTTATCATGGACAATGATGAATTATTTAATAAACTGAATAAAGACTCTTATGTAGAGATATCCTACCCCTAGCTACCTTTTAAATATTAGCAACTTGATTCTGGACTGATGTTTGTTTAGGAATTCTGTCCTTTAATTTGTTGTTCTAAAAAAATGACATGCTTGAGGTAAAATCTTAAAGAAATTCTAAGAAGGCAAGACCACCTCAAGACTCTTCTATGGATTGTTTCTAATTTTAATTGGAAATGAATGTCCATATTGAACGCTGATTTTCAGTTTAAATAAATGTAGAGGAAGTTCTTAATGCACTTGAGAGTTGCAAGAGATTTAGGATATTGTTTAATCCAACACCTTTATTTTTTAAATGATTAAAAGTTATTTAGAAGTAGTCTTCCCAAAGATCTGATAGCTATTGGCAGATTCATGCCATTTAGCTATCGTGTCATGGCATTTGCCTAACTACAAAAGCGGTAAGATAGGGAGCGTCCAAGTACCCACACTTGTTGAAGTAGCTAAAAGAAATTTGACTTTTGAAAGATATCATCAACCATCAGAGTAAAGCAAGTTCACGAGCCTTTTAGATGGGGGGTGTCTGGGTCCCCACGCCCATCCAGGATACGGTGTTAAGCAGTTACCACAAAGTGTTTTTTTGGGGGGGAATGCAAACCGTAGGTCTATGTTTATTCATAAGATGTGCCTATTTAATTTAAATTAAAAATTCAGTTCCTGAGTTGCACTAGCCATAAATCAAGTCTCAGTAACCACATGTGGATAGTGCCTGCCTTTTTGGAAAGTGTGGATAGAGAACATTTCCATTTCTGCAGAAAGTACCATTCATTGGACAGTGTTGTTCTAGGTAGTTATGCAGCGCCATTACTATCTCTATTCACACCTCAGTTTCCTGGGAATTTTCATATGATCCTAAAAAAGAAACTCGAAACCAGAAGGATAATTTGGATGCAACTAATGCATCCCAATGAAATCCCAATGAAATCACTGCTCAAGCTTGTCATGTAGATATAAAAAAGAGGACTATAATTGAATTTTTATGACACAAAATGAAACATTATTCAGCAAATACTTGTTTATTGAAGGTTTGCAATATATGAGGCATCAGAAGAAAGTATGTGTAAAGATAATTTTTAGAAAGTTTTAAAATGAAACCAAATGAAACACAATTGAAACTATTCATGATTTTAAAGTAAGATGTAAACTTGCATTTGTAACATAGCTTTTCATAATTCCAATAGAAAATATATTTTTTAACTTCAAAAATGACCTTTAATTTTGTAAATAGAAGGTCACTTACTGGCAAAAGCTGTCATTGAATTTTCTGTCTTAGGGAGAGTTGAGAAAACAATCATTAAAAAACAAAAAGTTATCTTTTGCCTTCTTAAGAAATAAGTACTATCTTACTAGGTTTTTTCCTGTACCTGGATTTAGAGAAGTGAAGTTACTCTGTACTGGTTTGTGTCTGGCTTCATTTTCTTACATAAAATTTTGGGATCTTTCCCTGTTGTTGAGTGTTCAGCAGTTTATTTTTTTTAAACTTCAGAGTATATTAGATGATATAGCTATACATCATTTGTTTCTCTTTTCTTTTGTAGATGAATATTTTACTTGTTTCCATTTTTTGGCTACTATCAATAAAGCTACTATAAACTTAAAAAAAAAGAAATAAATACTATCTTAAATTATGTCTATGTTAAAGGATCAATGCCATGTCATGGATAGTGGTTTATGAAGAAAGCATCATCAAAATGGAATTAGTATACCTTGCTTTTTAAGTCAAAATATATTAATAAACACATAATAGATCTGATGTAGAACCTTCTAAATACTACAGGGCAAGAAAAGAATGTTTGTTGAGATTTCCTTGCTGGTTAGTATTCCTTTTGCTGCTCCTCTAATAAATGTGAGGAGTTAAGGAAGAAAAGGACTTGGATCTCAATTTGTCTCACCTCGTTATTTTTCCCCTTTTCTGTGATTGCACAAGGTTACCCAGCCTTATTAAAATTCTGTTTTAGGTTGCTTTTACGAATTTACTTGTCAAAGGAGTTGCTAAGTTGTTATTTTATAAGTTATTATATGAACCATGTACGTAAAGTACTCAGCATAGTATGTTATCTGACACACAGCACTCAAATTAATAGCCATAAGTATTTGTAACATATTAGTAGCTGTAGTTTATCAATCTCTTTATTGGTTGAGTTTATGTGGAAGATACTTTTGAAGTGTGGATCTTCTCATGTCAGTGATCTACCACACCAGCTTCCTTTTTTCTCTCTCCATCATCCTCACCCTAACACATGATTTTCCATGGTAAATAATATGCTGCCAGTCACCTTTTTTATCAGTAAGAGCGATTACAAACCCACATAACAATAAAATCTTATAGCTTGGCAACAGAAGGTATTCAGACCCTAAGAAGCGCAAGGACTCATTCTGTTGTGTTGCTCTTGTGTTAACAAGGTGATCATAGAGCTTTAAGAAGAATAACTTGCATACTTGCTATAATTGTTTTCTGTTTTAGAAAATCACTTTCAGAATTATGTCTGTTATTGGCGCACTTGAGTAATTGACCTCTTTAATTTTTATTTAGGGCTTTGTCTCTTTCTTCTCCAGAAGTTCGATTTCATATGGACAGTGAAACTCATGATCCTATAGATCTACAGACCAAGGAGCTTAGGTATGCATTTTTTTTGATGGGCAGTAGATTTTGATTTTAAATGTACTGTCTGGTTTGTTAGTAAACAAAATGTTGTTATACCCAAAATATCCATTTCTAATAGGGTTATGATTTCTGTTATTTTATTTTATATTAAACTATGAACTATACAGAAAAGTAAACATCTCACTTTTAAGTTTTTCTTACATAAAACTGGGATTAGTATTACAATAGAAAAATTTCCAGTTTGAATTTGTATGACTTGAAGTGTGCGGTGTACTAAACCTGACTAGTGGCAGTGATGGTAAGTAAAAGAAGAGTGCCCTGATCAGTTCCGGAAGCATTAAATGTAGGGTTCCTGTGGTGGGCTGGAAGGGCGACTATGGGGCTTTGGGGCCAGACAGCCTAGGTGTGGGTTCCACTACTGCCCGTACAGCTCTGGACAGGTTATGCCTCAGTTTATTTGTGACCGATAATGGTACATGCCTCACAGGGTGCTGGGAAGAGTGCTCAGATGTTGTACTCAGCTACCGTCGTTATTGTTTTATTGATTTAGCTAAGTTTTAGGAAGCAAGGAAATTGTTGGCTAAATGAGAGTTAGGCCTCTTTTCCATGTCTCTTAGATAAGGTAACTCTGAAATTTAGTTTGCATCTATACTTTTCCTAGAAGGTGACTTAGAATTAAAAATGAGAATATACCTAAGTTCGTTAGTTTGGAACAGTATGTGCTCAGTAACATTAGAACTAAAATTTAAAAAAGAGCTTAGTGAGGGGGAAATTTCTGTGCAAAAAGTCTAATGTTAGTATGAACAGTGAGCCCAACACTAGGAGCTCTTTTGAGAAAAAAGTTGAATCCAGCTTTACCAAAATAGAACATCATTTCTTCCTGCCTATTAGAAGAAAAACATTTCTAAGATATTATCTCCATAAGTTTTAAAGGTATAGGAGATATTACTAATATTTTAAAAAATTAATATACTTTAGCAATCTCGTCAAGATGGTATTAGATGTTATTTAAAATGTAAACAGGAATGAATGATAAATAATGCATGTTCAGTGACTTGGGAGAAAGAAAGTACTACGTAAACAAAAGGCAGATGATTTATTCAACTATATTTTAAATGGACATAGACTATTTAGATTGAAAAGCAGTATCAGATTGCTTAAGAGTTTCAAAGTCAGGTTGTGTGAACTTGAATCCTGTTACTACTAACAACTCTGACATTGAGCAGAGAATAATACTTAGTCTTATATGCCAAGGAGAATAAATATATATATGGCACAATTTATATAGCACTTACAGCACAATGCCTGACCCATAATAAGCACCCAGAGTAGCTATTATAAATATCTCTTCAATTTGGTGATTTATTGGTCAAAGTTTAACTTTTTAACTCAAAATTCATATGACTTAAATTCTTCTTAATAAACTTTATTTTTATGGATTTATAGTTAAATAAAAGTCTACTTTTATTTGGGCTTAGTAAAAGGAGGTAAAAATGTTTCTGATTTAGGTTTTATATATTAAAGTTAGCAAAGCTTTTATTTTTTTAAATGCAATTTGTAAACACTCTAGGATGAGATTTACTTACACAGTAGATGCATAGTAAGGGATTGTTGACATAGTAGGAGAGAAATGAAAGAGCCCTAGGTTATAAAAATATGTGCACACATATGAATGTTACATAGGAAGTACTTCCATTACCTTCTAGGCAGAAAAGGTAACCTGGAAATAAATGATAATGTAGAAGTCTTGGATTCTCTTCCCTTTTTTAATAATTTTTTTCATTGATAGAGAAACAAATTCCATGGTGGAAGAATTTATGTTACTTGCCAATATCTCTGTTGCAAAAAAAATTCATGAAGAATTTTCTGAACATGCTCTGCTTCGAAAACATCCTGCTCCTCCTCCATCAAATTATGAAATTCTTGTTAAGGCAGCTAAATCCAAGGTACAATTCTATAGATTGAAAGTTATCTGTGTTTGTGTTGTGGTCTATCTGTTGCAGTGAATAATCTATATTTACATCTCCATAAAAATGTTCATTTCTTGATGCAAAAATATGGCAGTAGTTCTTAGTTTTTATTATTGAAATATATTTCACATATAACATTGTGTACATTTAAGGTGTACAATATGTTAATTTTAGACATTTATATATATTTATTTGCAGTATCTTGGATACATAATAAGCTCTTCGTATCTCTGTGCCTTTACACATGTTCTCTGTGCATGTTACTTCATGCCTCCTCTGAACTGCTGAACCTACAAATAATTTTTTTCTCTATACCTTTAACTCAGTTAAGCCCCCTTTATATCATGTCCCTAAGAAGAAAGACCATTTATTGCATACATGGAAAAATGAAGAATATAGAAAGGAAACCATTTCCTCAGTCCCATATACTCCCTGCCTCTGGTTAGTAGATTTTCTTTTAGGCATAAATTCCATTATGCTTGGGGCGACTGTGGCTTACATTGGTTTTGTTTGCATCACTTGGTAAGGTCCCATGTTTCCTGTCCAGAAGAGAGCTGGCAGGAGTTGTTTTGAGTCTTGGGACATTATTCTGCCAGGATAGCACTGATTTTTGAGTTACCAGACCTTCATGGTAGGCTTTCTGCTGTCATATCCATCAGAACAGAATCAGCCTATCCTGTGCTCTAAGGCTTATGCTGTAAATTGGGGGATTTTCTCTTGTCTTATTCCTCTTCCTAAGATCTGGGTAGAGGAAGGAGGATTTAAGTGTTTGCCTCACCTCCCAAAGTAGAATAAAACAGCTAAGTTTGATGTATCACAACATTGAGCAGCAGTGACCAATGCAGCTTTATTTTGTCTGTGGCCTTGACTTCTACTTTGAATGGAAGGAAAATGTATGCAGAGAAAATCCAGACATACTGGAAAGTATCCAGATCTGCTTGGATTTCTTTTTTCCTGCCCCAGCAGATCAGGCACAAAGTGGGCTTTGAGAAACAGTGCTGCTGCTCCCACCATCCTTCAGGATGTTGATACTTCAGTGTCTTTAAATGCATTTAAAAAAAAGTTAAGCTTTGATGTTGCACAGGACAGTCACTGCTTTCTATAAGTTTTAGTCTTGTAGGTGAAAGATAAAAGATAAAGACACTTACTACCTGATCATCCTGATTCATTATATTTTGAACACATGATGGTACTGATTTTAAAATATAGTGCTCTTTCCCTCCTCTTTATTCACAGAATTTGGAAATTAAGACTGATACAGCCAAGTCTTTGGCTGACTCTTTGGATCAGGCCGAGTCTCCTATCTTCCCGTATCTGAATACTCTGTTAAGAATCTTAGCTACTCGGTGCATGATGCAAGCTGTGTACTTCTGCTCTGGGATGGATAATGATTTTCATCACTATGGCTTAGCATCCCCGATATACACACATTTCACTTCACCCATCAGGAGGTACTTTTTCCTTGAAAATGGCTCATTTTGAATTTTAAAAAGATTTTAATGCTAATGTGGCATGATTCTTATTTCTCCTTTATATATCTATGAGTAGATATGCGGACATCATTGTTCATCGGTTGTTGGCTGCGGCTATTGGGGCTGACTGTACTTATCCAGAGTTGACAGACAAACACAAGCTTGCAGATATATGTAAGAATCTCAATTTCCGGCACAAAATGGCTCAATATGCCCAACGTGCATCAGTGGCTTTTCATACCCAGGTATTTGCCTTCTCTTGATAAGAGAAATGAAGTTTTGTTCATTTTTGATATTAATTTCAAAATTGTTTTGTTAATTTCAAAATATTTAAGATGATTCTTAATAAAGTATGTTATTTTACAGTTATTTTTCAAAAGCAAAGGAATAGTAAGTGAAGAAGCCTATATTCTTTTTGTGAAAAAAAATGCTATTGTGGTGTTAATTCCGAAGTACGGTTTAGAAGGTACGGTTTTTTTTGAAGAAAAGGACAAACCAAAGCCACGGCTTATTTATGATGATGAGGTATAGTATTCCCAATGTTTTTATTTGTTTGCTTTTGATGCGGGGGAGGGGTGCTTTTTCTTTGATAGGTTACAAAAACCTGAAAGGGTTGAAATTGTTTTTTGTATTCTACAGAATTTAATTGTGCCAGCTAAACTCTTATACCAAGTTTCTCACCTTAGTGTATCTTCCCACATACACAAGCTGACTGATTTCTTTTATACCATGTAAAGTTCCCCCCTAAGTAAACCTGAATTACACAGTGCCTTAAGTGGAGAGATGGATTAAAGTAAAGGAATACATAAATGACTGCTTTGAGCTCAGGGAGAGATTTTAAACCTGTTTCGTGTCTCTTATCAGACATACTCCCTACTTGTCTAACCTTAGTGGAACGATAAAACAGTAAACTCTGCCCGTAGTACCTTTGTGCTGTGTTTCTCTACTAAACCAGCAATTTGCTGGTAAGAATCCTGAGAGTAATGAATTACTTTGGGACCATCTTAATGAAAGGAGGAAGTATGGTAGCTTATATTTATGTAAGGCTACTAGATTCCTGGTTTTTGTCATGTAGAACATTTAGATGTGCTTATTAAATATGCAAGTAGTTTTTTAATTTAAGCTTTTAAATTAATATGAAGGTAAACTCTAAAGAATTAGAACAAATCCTCAAGTGTATGAAAGTAATTAAAAATTGTAAAATGTCTTTTGTTTAGAAACCTTCACTTAAAATAGAAGACACTGTGTTCCATATATTTGATAAAGTTAAAGTGAAAATCATGTTGGACTCATCAAATCTTCAGCATCAGAAAATTCGAATGTCCCTGGTGGAACCACAGGTAAGACCAAACTTATATTATCTGCGTTGTAATGGAATATATTTGTGAAAGACTGATGTAGTCATAAGTTATTTCTGTTTAATGATAGTGGAAACTTGGTAAGTAGTGTGGAGGACAAATACTTGCCTAGCAATTCCTATTTTCTCAGTGATCTCCCTAGGCCATACGATCCAGGTTGCTTAGGATTCTTATGAGGCCATCGGTAAGACAAGCCAAACTCTTTGAGATCTCTCCCCTAAGCTGTCACTTTTATTGGTTTTTTTTTTTGAAAGCTGCACTTTTGCAGATTAAGATAAAGTATGTTTCACCTAAGACATTGGTTCTTAACCTTTGTTTTGCCCCAACACACCTGAGGCCTCTGATGCTTACAGTCACAGTGGCCCAGCTGGGATATTTAGATGTGTTAACCACATACTTCTGAAATGACCCCTTTCTTACCTGTTGAGATGATATCTAACATTTTTGAACCACTGTTACTTTGTGTGGAAAACCAAAAAACCCCATTTCCCCCGCTACCTCTACATCCTTTTGAAATTGGAAATATCATTGGGAAGGGAAAGATGAGAATGAGAATTATTCCTATTTTATGCCTTTGCTTACCTCCTTTTTTTCCATTTACATTACTTTAGATACCAGGAATAAGTGTCCCCACTGATACTTCAAACATGGACATTAATGAACCAGAGAAAAAGAAGAAGAAGATTGAAAAATAGCTACAGTCAAGAAAAAAACCTCAAGGACTGGTTTCCTTAAAAAAACAAAACAAAAACCTTAAGAGGACATTTTTAAACCTAAAGAGTGTGTGAAAGTTTATTACTTTCTTAAGTGCATTTTAATAATTTAAAAAATTTGCATTTTTTAATTTTTTTATATTTTGAATATTCTATTACAGTTGACCCAATTTTTCCCCCTCTGCCCTCCCCTCCACCCAGCACTACCCACTCCGTCAGGCAGTCCCAACATTGTTCATGTCCATGGGTCATGTGTCTAGGTTCTTTGGCTGCCCCATTTCCTGTACTGTACTTTATATCCCCATGGCTATTCCATAACTACTTTTTTGTACTTCTTAATCCCATCACCTCTTCACCCATTCCCCCATACCCCCCTCCCATCTGGGAACCATCAAAGTATTCTTTGTATGCATGGTTCTGTCTCTGTTCTTGTTTGCTTAGTTTGCTTTTTAGATTTAATTGATAGATTTGTATTTTTTGCCATTTTATTGTTCATAGTTTTGATCTTTTTCTTAAATGAGTCACTTTAATGTTCATGTAATGGTTTGATGATGATGAACTTGTTTTTTCTTGTCTGGGAAGTTCTTTATCTGCCCTTGGATTCTAATTGATATCTTTGCTGGGTACAGCAATCTTGGGTGTAGGTCCCTGCTTTTCATGACTCTGAATAATCCTTGCCAGTCCCTCCTAGCCTGCAAGTTTCTTTGGAGAAGTCAGCTGACAGTCTTTTGGGAATTCGCCTGTAGGTAACTAACTGCTTTTCTCTTGTGGCTTTTAAGATTCTCTCTTTATCTTTAACCTTTGGCATTTTAATTACGATGTGTCTTGGAGTGGGCCTCTTGGCATCCATCTTGTTTGGGAGTCTGCTTAAAAATTTGCATTTTTATTGAACTGTTGACTATGTCTGTCCCATCATACTACTTTATTTCTGGATTGAACAGAACTGTTTATGCAGAAAAATTCAATTGAATATCCATCATTTAGTGACAGGATAGCAAATTCAGGGATCTGTAAAGATCATTTAAAGAGAGCATTCATCTGCTCGTTGAAGAGCAGATTAACTTTGCATAAGTAATTTGATTATTTAATATTGATAGAAAAATATGGAGAAAGATATAACATTTTTAGAAGGAACAATCTGTCATTTCTAAATCTTGAAAGCTGTGTTTGGTATGGCAGTTTTTGGATTTCAAGACAATTAAGATCTGTTGGGGAATTCGGTAATCACTGCTATTTTTCATTTACCTAGCTTACATCATGTGCTCTCTTCCTGAAAGCCTTCTGTACTTTCTTAATGATCCTTGAACAGCTGTTGAGTGTTTGGGAAATGAATGCTGTAGGAAGGCAAGATGTAAGATATTTTGATTTCACTGAAAAAATAGTTGTTTCATACCAAGTAATAAGTGCGATCATCATCCTTGACCTTCATCTCAAATATCTCCCCCAAAGTAAAGAGTTAGGATTCAAAGAAAGAATGGATAGTACTTTGTCACATCATGTTACTTATAAAATAAAAAGCAGGTAATGAATGGCTTTTAAACTGCATATGTACCAGATTATATAGGAAAGGGGGGATTGTGTAAATTCATATTAAAGGGAACACATTGAAGTATCTTCCCTTGTTAACCACAAAAATTAGTAATGATTAAATGGCTGTTTTCCAAAATATTTTGAGATAGTTACCTTAAAACATTTTACTTCATATAGTCAATCTCTAAAGTACCTACACTGTACCAATAAACTGCTGTTGCCTGGGAAGAGCTTGCAGGACAATGAAGAGTGGCAAACACGTCAGGAGTTATACTAGTGGGAACAGTAACTGTGTGGACTTCAGGCACTCAGTAATTGTTAGGTGATGTTCCAGTTTCCTGGTCCTGAAGAAAACATCCATACATTGAGACAGAAGCTGTTTCAGTTGGCAAAAGATAGCTTTGAGTTGTCTTGGGTCCACATAACGGGCTGAGACCAGAGCAGGAGTCCACAAGCCATTCTGCAAAGGGCCAGGCACTGAAGGTTCTGCCAGTCGGGCAGTCAGGCACAGCCTAGCCCTCAGCTCTTCTGCTCCGACAGTGTGAGTGCAGACTGTACGTAAGCAGATGAGCAAGGCTGTGCTTCCACAAAACCTTATAGATACAAATTTAAATTTTACAATTTTCATGTATCACAAAATACTACCTACTTTGTTTTCCCCTCCCCAAAGAATTTAAAAATTCTTGGCCCATGGACCACAGTTTACCTGCAGGAGAGTAAAAGGGGAGGCTTCTTGGCAAAACAAGGAGGCTATGGCTGACCTTTTTATTTCTGCGTTTTTGTTTTTTTCCCCCCTTGTGCCTCATTTATGAGGAAGGTCTAATTCAGGCATTAGTTCTTACTGAGTAGTTTAAGAAGTCTAGCTAGACACCTTATTTTCACACTTTTAAAGTCTCTTCCTTGGTAATCTAAAACACTTCTAATGCCAGCTCTTATGCTAAGCAGCTTACGTGGAATATTTCACTTAAAAAGCTCTGTTGGGTAGGACTGTTCTCCCCATTTGATGAGAAGATTGAGGTTTCTATGGCCTAGATCAAGTAGTTAAGTGACAGAGGTGGGGTTAAAATCCAAATTATAGTCACTACTCTGTTTCTGGACTTGTGCTCTGAGAAACACACACAGCCAGGGAAGCTTCCATTCCTGGAATGTAGAACTTACGTATAGCAATAGCCTGTATATTGATTGTAAAAGCTAAGGACTCAATTTCCTAATGCAAAATCTTTAGCAATGGACCTAGTGACTAATGGTTTTAACAGTTACTGTGCTGGGGGAGAGGAGGAGCCAACACACAGTAAGAAACATTTTTTGGAGGTTAGTTATAAGCTTATAAGGTGCAAAAAAAAAAAAAAATTACACAATATGTTTCCTAGGGCTGCGTATGAATTATCACTCCTATATGAATCAATTTTTAAAATGTGATTTGTAAATATGACCACATTTTCCGAAGGTAAAGAATATTCCCCCCAAGCTTCTATACCCAGTCTGCTCCCAACATGAATATAAGGTTTTAAGAACTTGAGTTACATCTGCCCATCTGTAACTTACAGGTCCAGAGCCCTACAGGAACTCCACCGTCACTCAGTTCCCACTGTTGAGCCTGGTTCTGCCGCGCTCTTACTCCTCTCCGCCCCATTTTAGTGAGAAAGAATACATTTGTCCTAGGGATAGAGATGTATATTGGGCATCCCATGTTTATCCCACTAATAAAAACAATACATAATATAAAGATGTTACTACTACCTTTCTAGTATTTACCCTTTTTAAAGTAGTCACTAGGCCAGTTACCACTGAAACTAAGATTTCTATACAGAAATAGAGTCCAAGAATGAAAAATTTTGGAAACCTTAACCTCCTTCCTACCTCTTTGATTAAATTTGTTTTATACCTAAATCAGATTTCTTCCACATAGGTTATACATTTCAATTCATCTGTATATTCACATATTTCTACATAAAACAGAACTTTCACAGTTCCGCATGTTCTCAGAACTCCCACATCCAGCGCCCTCTGTAAGGCCAGGAAGTAGCTCACTGACCCTGTAAGGACAGGCGCCAAGACACTGCTCTAGTTTTTACTGTAAAAGCATCACTCAAGATGAGTACAAAAATATTTATTGACAAAAAATAAACTTATAAATCAGCAAATTGTTGAAAGTTCCAGATGCTTTTCTGTTGTCCCTGTGTCACTAAATTAAGCCCTTGATTTTTCACATTAAGGAGGGAAAGAAAAAGCTAGGCATGTTAGTTGAAGCAATTTTTCCCCAATCATGGTCACGTTATTTGATCCTGTGCGTAAAAAATATGTAAGGAGCTACTCAACAATAGGCTTTGGTTCCGAGAGAGGAGTTCTGTGGACTGCTGCACTGAGGACTTGCTGTTTTCATCCAACACCTCTGTGTTGTGTGGTTTTGCTGTGAAAAGAATACCTTATTTTCAGTTTAAATGGGACTATTTGAAGGAAGCAACTATTATGAGAACTTTTTAAAACCCAAATGCATAGTCTAAAGGGACAGTGAAGATACAGATTTTTACAAATCAATATTTAGTATCAAAAACTATTTCTTGTATCTATTATATGGACAGCTACAGCCCCATCTTGTGACAAAATGGGGGAAAGGGAAAGAAGGTTGGCTCTGTATTAAATCTTACTCTCATTTGGAGAGTTATGTTCAGTAGCACACCTGCTGATATTTGCTGTGTTCATTAATAAATTGGCATTCAAAAAATTGAAGATTCTCTTGCCATGGCTGGCATAGCTCAGTTGGTTGAGCATCACCCCACAAAGCAAAAGGCCGCCAGTTCAGTTCCTGGTCAGAGCACATGCTTGGGCTCCAGGCCAGGTCTCTGGTTGGGGGTGTTTGGGAGGCAACCAATCATCGTTTCTCTCCCTTTCTGCTTCCCTACCCCTCTCCCTAAAAATAAATAAAATCTTAAAAAAAAAAAATTATTAAAAAAAGTAAAGGTTCTCCTGATAGTGCCTAAAGGGTTTCTTCAAAGGTGAACATACAGCTATAACCCTCCTATCTAGAAGGTTCAGTAAATGTCATTATTAACTATATTTTGTATAAATTATAAATATTATATATGTGTTCTCATTCAGAATTCAAAAATTTATTAAGGCGTTTGAATTTTAAGAGCCCTTACCCGAGTGTTCTTAACTTGATGTGTTGCCTCTCAATTGCACTACTACATTCTTTAATAATCAAAATTCTTTATGTTTAGCTTTGAGACAATATTAGGGGCAAAAACATCTAACCCTCCTCTCTGGCACCCCCTATTCCTGTTCCCTTTTAGTTTTCAAGTACCAATTCCAAATCAGGACTATCTCTCCCTCTCCGACCTCCTCCTTTATTCTCATAGCAAAAGAGTTGGGAAAATGAAGTGTTTCCATTTAAAAATCACCTTTTGTTCTTACATGACCTGAGGGATGAGGTATAAATACGATAATTAAAAATTATAAGCAAAATGAAGGGAAAAAAATAAACCAAAAAGTCACATTTAGTGAACACTTAAAACCTACAACCACATCAAGCTTTCTGTTTTTTTCCATACCTTTGTATTAAAAACTTGAGGTTTGGTCTCAACTTCCAAGGCTTGTGCATCACTTTCTTTGCAGTAACTTTCTGCTCCAACTGTATCCATAATATTGCTTCCACAATTCTGTGTATTATAGCCACTATCCATCTGACAGGAATGAGAAGGGGGAAAAACACACTAAGGATAATATTGCAAACTAATTCACCTATCCACAACATTT